TGATATGTTCCTGATGGGACGCTGGGCCCGGTTCCCAGCGCGTGCGGCTCCACACAAATAGATTGGAGTGTTGTCGTCAAAAAAAAAAAAAAAAAAAGACTTTGAGTGCAGCACGATAAGTGAAATTGTTCACATTAATTTGGAACACCTAGTTGACTGTGTATAGCTTCGGCAAACTGATGCAACACACATACTGCACGGACCGTTCTGACAGGACTGGAGGACTTCTTAGTCTCGAAGCAGCAGACTGACACCGGGATCTGACACGACGGACACAGAACAGACAGAACGGGGACAAAAAACACAGAAATGCATGTGCTCAAGCTCAGAAGTCAGAACGAAGGTCAACTGCAGGCAGGGGTCAGGAGGAACAGTCAACACATTGACCACCTACTGACACCGGACAGACTGACAAACACGGATTAACATCTAGATGGACTTCGGACTGACAGACCTGACAGACCAATTCTGACAGACTGATGGACTGACGTCAGCAGGACAGGTCGGTGGAACGAATTCACTTGAACTATATCTTGATTGCCGAGACGCCGCTGGTCAACTTTGACCGGATTACAGGGCCTGCCTGACTGAGTCCCACAAGTCAGCGCCCGAACTGAACCTCCGCCGAACCTTCCAATCAGTTACCGGACTTACCGCAGATGATTCGCCAACCTTTCTTTTCTGCAAATTGATATCCCCAAGTGGGGTCTACGAAAGCGGTGGCCAGAACATAACAATTTGAGAGTCACAAGACCCTCAGGTCAACCGGTGGGTTAATTCGGATTGACACCCTAACGAGTCGCAGTTGGGGCCACATCTCATGCCGTGAGACCACCGCTCCACTTCTTTTTTCTTTATTTAACTCGGTTTCTCGCCAACGCGCACCAATCTTTGGCAATCAATCACCAACCATCACCACCGCCGCACTTTGAAGGAGACGGGGCACTGTGGCCCCAAACTGCCATCTTTCGGCCAGATAGCGGATGGTGTTTGATCAATGCTCTCTATGCACGTGGTCGTGACTCCGATATCAACTGTTTCACTGCCCCAAATGGTCGTGGCTCCGATATCAACTGTTTCACTGCCCCAAACCGCCATCTGTCGGTCAGATAGCGGATGGTGTTTCATCAATGCTGTAGATGCACGTGGTCGTGACTCCAATATCAACTGTTATGTGCGTGATTGAAAACGAATCCAGCACGGCATTCACACATTCCCATACACATGTGCCATGACAAGTACACATGGAGAGTCCTACTCGACCTCCTACGCTCATCGTGAAGAAAAATGAACAAAGAACCCGAAACCAGTAGGCCGCCGCCTACTTCTACCCAAGCTAGACCTACGGGATAGTCCACCAGCTACAACCTACAACTCACCTACACCTAGAGTCCCAGACAGACCAATTATCTTTGTACCACGGCCAGGAAGGCGGTGGCTGGGATGCTGTGGTCAAGAAAAGGTGTGAATTCAACCAGGAAGGGGCAAAGATGGGGAATTCGATGGGGAAGCGGCGGAAACAGTCAGACAATTCATTCAAACTGAAATTATAATAGTACAATGGAAAAGAGTTCGGGAAAAAATGGCACATCTTAGGCTTGGACCCCACTGGCCGGCGGCGTGGAAAAGTTTTGGCTAGTAAGTGTTTTTCAGACCCCACAGGTGTTGGAAACCGTTGCGGAAAGACGGCCCGGAAAGGAATTTCAGACCCCACTGCGGTTGGAAAGAGGTCGTGGAAAAGCTGATGGGGAGTTTCTACTCGGCTCGCGGTCTGGAATTTTTTGGCGACGAGTTTCCAGGCCGTTTCCAAGGACGTCTCCAGACGAGTAGGGTGGGGGGCATCTCAAAAAGTTTCCAGGATCGGGCTGGACATCGTGGCGTTTTGTAGACACTTCATTGGCTGCGCAAGCAGACCATGGACCACAGCCCCCGCCGGGCTTGCCTTTTTGGGAAACACCCCGGCGGTGTGATTTCCTATTCGGGTATGTCCAAACTTTTCCAATGCCGAAACTATAGGCCTGCGGTGGGGTCCCAATGAAACGAGGAAGAATGTTTCCAACCACGGTCGGCCATTTTTTATGGCCAACACCAGTTTCCAGCTGCCGGCCAGTGGGGTCCAAGCCTTACACAAAAAGCAGACATCAGCAAGGAAATCCGTACCTTCTGTGCAGATTGGCTGGGGGGAGGAAGGGAAGGCAGAACGGCTCAGGTCGAATGACCAGGGGAAAGAGGGAAAGAGGGGGAAAGTGGTGCCCTCGTCAAAGATTACAAGCTCACGTTCCACTGAATGGCTCCGGGTCAACCCCAATATTCCAATAACGAGCCCCGGGATTTTCGGACGTTTTCCTCCCGGCAGCCACTGCTGTAATAGTAGAAATGCAATGGTTTGGGCAGAAAAAACTCAGACCATGCACAAAAAAAAAACATAGATTAAACCATCATGTACAAAAAAAAAAAAAGAAACAACAGCCGAGGCGGTATGTTTTGAAACTCTAAAGGCACAAAAAACTTGCGTAGGCAAAGAAAGCATTTGCGAACTCGAAATGAGAGATTTCGATTCAAAAGTACCCGTTGGCCATTTTCTTTTTTTTGTTATTGTTTTTGTTTTTTCCCCTCTGACACCACTGGGGACCCCTGTAAATATGACACCACCTGGACCGGTCTGACACCACGGCCGTCAGTACTTACGTTGTGCCGTTTTGAACTCGGTGCGGTTTTCTTTCAAATTGCCAATGCGTGTTTTTTCTGCCCATTCGATACTCAAAAGTGACATGAACGTACTTAATACCTCAAAAAAAAAAAAAAAGATAAACCATGCAAGTATGCAGAGTAGGCCTAGTGGATTCAGTCAGGTATATGGTTAGATGCAGTTACCTTTGCATTACTTATCCTCACCCTGGAATGACCTTGCACAGTTACACCTGAGGGGTATAGAAATTAGAATTGCTTCTCTTTTTTTTTTCCTTTTTTTTGAAAAGAAAATGGCGGCAGTCTTGAGATATATTGATGCATGCTTATCTGAGGATGAGCGAATCACAGGTCCCAAGGAGCACCAATGTGATGAATAGGACTCAGGACAAACAATGCGATCGGCCACTAACCTACGTGAATCCAGAAAAGAAGCGATATATTATGGGATATAATGCAATGTACTACAGCGGAAGACTCAAAATTTTAGACAGGACCTGACTTGTCAGACTCAGACTTGACTCGCTCAGACATCATCACACATGTCAAATCAGCAAGGAGTGAGGCATTCATGGAAGAAAGACTCCTCCTTGCGCTCACACATGAGGAGGAGAACCACGGATGATGGAGATAGGGAGGAGATGAAGGGAAAGAATGGGAGGTGTCCGAGGAGATAAGAGAGCAACTCCTCTCTCTCTCTCTCTCTCTCTCTCTCTCTCTCTCTCTCTCTCTCTCTCTCTCTCTCTCTCTCTCTCTCT